TGACAGATATAGCCAGAATGATTCTTAAGCTTAATAAAAGGTTTTTTTAATGCAATATATTTCCTACATTTGTTTGATTAAGATTTCTGCTTTCTGTAAACTGAAAATTCTCCATAACTCAGATATAAAGTTCTGCTTATAGTGCCAGTACCATAGATGTGATCTACAAATGTCAACATCAAAAAAGGATATTTTGATTGCGGACAAAAAAAACACTTAGGTTTATTATATATTTATTATTTGTGTTAAACCACTGTACAATATTTAGATTTATAAAGGAAATATGTTTCTTTATTTGTATTAGTCTGTTGAATATAAAAAAATATAAAAAAAGTTGCATAGATATTTTTTATTCATCCTGTGCAGCTAGCAGATGGAAGTTTGGTATCTGGTGCCTGTAATTTATCTTTACATTTGTACTGTGAAGAGTGTGTTATTTGATATCCTGCTGTTCAGTTTTATACAGCTATAAATGTAGCTACTTCAGTTTCTCTAAGTGGAGCATCAATTAGGGAAGGACAACTCATAGCAGCCATTGCTAGGTTGGCTTATTGGTAAGCCCAGTAAGAATAAAGGGGAATATGTATCAACCAAACATTAACATTAGATAAAAATCAGGCTGCCTCTAAGTGTGCAAAGTCAATGTGATAGACTTTTTGTATATTTTCAACACCTGCAACCCTGTGCAGCCAACAAAGACAGTATGTTCATGTCTGCAGTTGCAGTGATATTTTAGAGCAGCTGATGGAGAAGTTTGCATAAATGAAGCTTCATAATTATAATAAATCTATCTTATCTCTCATATTACTTCTGTTTAGCATTGCCTAGCTTTACAACACAATCAGTACATGTCTTCTTAGTAATGCACTCCATAATAAAAACCTATATCAAAGGTTTATACAAGTAATGAAGAAAGTGACATACTAGATCAGTTAATAAACATATAAGCATTCAAAGACTAAACAAATTATTCATTTATTAAACCTGACAAAAGCCATTAAGTCACTAGGATGTCATTTCTGTTTCAATAACAGGAAAAAGAAGCTAAAGTTGCTTCAAATTAAACATACTGATACATGGACATAAATTGTTGCACAACCCAAATGATTGCAACTCAGCCATTTGACAGTTTGTGTCTGGGTACAATATGATAGCAACAGACTAGCACCAACCATCAGAAGGGTGATCTTCCATACTAGAAAATCATCAAGTGAATCCTGATGTTCTCTGCTACTCAGAGATAAGCCAGCATGTTGCGTGTTTAAAATAGTTTGTTTGACATGAACTGCACAGTGAATGTGAATGTTGAATGGTAAATGACTGAAGGTCTGATCATTCATGATAGAACAATCAGATGCTCTGGTGAATAGATACCTTAACCACTTCAGCTCTAGTGTCTAAATACCCCCTGTGGAACAGAATTATTTCTATATTTCAGCAATAGACCTGATAATTAATGTAATAATTCATGTAATTGAAGTAACTTGATAATAAAATGATGTGTAAATAGCTTTGTAAAGGTTTGCATGCTGTGGTATGGTCTTTTAAAAGAAAAAAACCTAGCTAAGGACAGAAAAGAAGGACAGCGCAGAGGCTACCTAGACATTACTAATAGTTACTAAAGGTTAATAATGGGTTTACTGGAACTGAAATTGTAAGGCAATTAGAAATACTTTTAAAAACTATATAGCAAACATGCAACTGTTCTTCAGTAATTACATCTGCCAGAGAAAATTTGCAGAGGTTTTGGGGGAGGAATGGTAGAAGAGCCAAAAGCCAAGCACAATGTGAGTTGGTAAAGTAAGGCAAGTTAAGGTAAGAAAAAGTTTTATGTGGAGTACCTTGTACTCCCAAGATTTTGGAGCTATTAAAAGGCCACAAACACCTTCTTGTGGATTTATGAATATACGGAGAAAGTAAGAGTCAATGACAAAATGAAAATTTGGTGAAAAGCAGAGCTTTCATCATCTGCAGTTGTGCTATATGAAGGAGAGAACACCTCCTTGAATAACAGGGAAGACTTAGCAAAAAAACTAAAACATTTCCCAATTACCCCCATAATGTGAACTACTTTATATGGGACTTTGTACAATAAGTGCTGGTTCACATACAGTATATTGCCAAAAGTATTGCGACGCCTGCCTTTACACGCGCATGAACTTTAATGGCATCCCAGTCTTAGCCCGTAGGGTTCAATATTGAGTTGGCCCACCCTTTGCAGCTATAACAGCTTCAACTCTTCTGGGAAGGCTATCCACAAGGTTTAGGAGTGTGTCTATGGGAATGTTTGACCATTCTTCCAAAGTGCATTTGTGAACTCTATATATATATATATATATATATATATATATATATATATATATATAGAGATAACGGATGAGAAGGCCTGGTTCACAGTCTCCACTCTAATTCCTCCCAAAGGTGTTCTATCAGGTTCAGGTCAGGACTCTGTGCAGGCCAGTCAAGTTCCTCCACCCCAAACTCACTTATCCATGTCTTTATGGACCTTGCTTTGTGCACTGGTGCACAGTCATGTTGGAACAGGAAGGAGCCATCTCCAAACTGCTCCTACAAAGTTGAGAGCATGAAGTTATCCAAGAGTTTCCTAAATGCTATACATTGTATGTAGCGTTAAAGATGGTTTTCACAGCCAGTTTCAACAATGGCATACACTGCCAATGCATATTCGGTTCTGGAATGTTTTTTTCTACTATTACAATTAGCTTTGCTTACCAACAGCAACACCCCAATCTGAATGCTTTTTTCAGGTAGCTTTAGCCGTGTATCTGCTAGTAGTTTGCTGTAGCTATCCTTGTACACATTGATGCAAAATTACCCTGCTGCTGACCAATTCCTACTGAGGTCTCATTAAGAATTAAGAGATTAGAGATGATACAACAGTGTATCATTGGCCAACAGCAGGCCTTTTTTTATGAGGGAGAAATGTCTGAAATGTGCTATAGAGAATAAGTACAGGCAGGAGTTTTACTACAAGATTTAAGAAACCTCAGAACATACAACAGTGTAAAATTGGTCAGCAGCAGGACAGTTTTATTCAGGGATAATAGACCTAACTAGTGTATGCCTAACTTTATATTATCTATAGGGATAGAAGGGTGTGGTGAATATTAATGATATAATGTGAAGTGGTTTAGGTGTACACTGTTCTTGCACATACATTTAACAGTTAAAAAAACAGTTAAACCTAAATACCAAGACCAAAATACAGTTAAACCTAAGTACCAAATATCCTATAAATAAATAAAAATCCCCAAATATTACCCCTGAAACAATGTATTTTTTTTAATAAAACCATGCAGCAAAAAAGCTATGGATAGGAGAGCAGCTCAAATCAATCACAAAATAAAACAAAAGACAAAAAAGGGGTTTATTTGCCAAAGAGATAGCAATGATAAGCAAAGAAAGTGCATAGATTTAGCACAAAAAACAAAGAACTTTTATCCACTTTTAAAACATAAAGGAGTCTTTTAAAAAAAATGCAGCACAAATGTTTCAGCATTGTGCATGAGTGAAATATTTGTTTCTGCTTGTTGCTTTTTTCAGGTAAATGTAGCATTTCCTAACATTCAATCCTAGGAGAAAATAGCCCTTAGAGCATGGGTGTCAAACTGGTGGCCCTCCAGCTGTTGCCAAACTACAAGTCCCATGAGGCTTTACAAGATTGACAGTTACAAGCATGACTCCCAAAGGCAGAGGCAGGATGGGACTTGTAGTTTCACAACACCTGGAGGGCCATCAGTTTCACACCCCTGCCTTAGAGCATTTTAACAGAAGAGTTAAAGTACATTTGACTAATATAGAAAATCGCCTAGTACTATAGGCTAAGAATATTCAACAAGAGGAAGAAATAATATGAGGGAGACCTCTTCATTGCAAACTAAGAGGTGTATGTTAAAAAAAAGGAATTATTTGTCCTGTGAAACTCCATGTACATTTATTTTGTGTGAATGAGAGTAAAAACACATGTTGGTCTTTTTTCTCCTGAGTTTGAATGTTTTTAATTTATGATAACAGAGTAAATCAGGAAAATACAGAACTATGCCCACTAGATGGAGCAGACAATCATAAGTGCATTTGGCCTCTTTATAATATAGATATCATATACAGTGGGGCAAAAAAGTATTTAGTCAGTCACCAATTGTGCAAGTTCTCCCACTTAAAAAGATGAGAGAGGCCTGTAATTGGCATCATAGGTAGACCTCAAATATGAGAGACAAAGTGAGAAAAAAAATCCCACCTTGTGGGATGCATTAGTAAATACCAGCCATTTTCTTGGAATATGAGCCTCAGGTGTTGGGCAAATAGAAAACTGGCACCACATTTGTAAAAGGAGCACAGATACAAGACTAAAAAACACAAGACAGTGGGAGCAAGGCCAAATGTTGAGGCAAAAGTCATAGAGATTTCTTTTCACAAAGAATTAGAGCTTTAGCCCATTTTGGATCTAACCTCCCTAGCGGTCTGATTATGTTCATATTACTGTGCTCAAAGCGGTACATTTTGTTTGCATGGAAATATGTCATTTTTTTATTGTAGGCCTGTAATTTTTAGGAATAACTCACTGAAATCTGTCCGAACAAAAGTCTAGTAAACATCCCAGAGATGTTAAAATTTGAAACATGAAATCATAAATTATAATTTACTAAATAATCATAAAAAATAATAATATAATAATAATATATTTAATTCAATAATATATTCAAACCAAAAACACTGAAATTTGAAATATAGTGCCAAGTTCGCACATCACTGAGCAAAGTCGCAAAATCGTTTTCAGTGTCTGATGACGAATTTCCCCATGAATCATTATCACTCAATTCTGCAAGTCGTTCTAATTTACTATCGCTGTTCTCTAGCTGGTTTAAAACCGATTTTGACCTAAAGGGACGCTTTTTGGACGCCATGGACGTTTCTAAGTTTCCAGGCAGAAAGAACAGTAAAAATGCAGGCAGGGCACAGGACAAAGCACTAGGGACAAAATGTATGTGAAATGCTTTGTGATTACTATGTGATTTTAGTGAATGTCATTTTTTGTCACTTTCAAATTTCCCACCGGTTCCGGCCCCCGTACGGCCCGACGTCGCAGGGAACGGAACCCAGAAGACAGATGCTGGCATCCGCTGGAGGACACTGCAGGAGGGACATCGTGGGAGCGCAGGACAAGGTAAGTGAAGAACAGATCCCTGAGCAGCGCAGCATGGTAAGCCCGAGTGTAGCTCGGGGTTACTGCTTGTGGTACTGAAACTTTACCCCGAGCTACACTCGGGAATACCGCCAGGGAGGCTATGGGTCACTTCTTTTTTGAAAAGGGAAGGAGGGGAATGAGAAGAAGGAAGAGAGGTTACAGGAATGTTGGCAGCAACAGTGGCAAAAACAAGAGAAACCTGTTTAAAGTTTTTTCTTAGTTAAATAAATCTACCTGTGATCCATACCTGATTAATTTTAATAAAAAAAATCAGCTTCTCTTGAAGTACTGAAGACCCCCTCTGACATGACATTTTCAGCAGGGCAGGATGTTACCTTGAGCACCTAATGGGTCTCTCCCAACCATTTTTTCATACTTGATACTCAATAGTCCATTTTTTCATCTACAGCCTTGCAGCCCCTGCCCATATTTACCTGACCATGGTAGAGAGAGCCTTTAAAAGGAAACATTTTTAATAATAGTAATAATAACAATAATAATATAGCATTTTTACATTTTAAAGTAAATTGGTAAATAATGCTTTGGCAAAACAAATACATAAACAATAGTGGTGGCAGGTAGAAATACGAGCTTAATGTGGGCATTGGGGTGGTTCAGGGAATTTTCTTTTCAACTCCAGCCATTAGGGCATGAGAAACCGGGTGGAGGAAGGTTTTTACTGGAGATGGTTGATGGAGTGGGTGTTGGTGAGTGCTGCTTTGAGTTTTAGGCCTTCACTTGGAGTAAGGGAGGGTAGCCTATAGCTGTAGAAGTCTATACTTAATTTTTGCTGTTATCTATATTTCCCATCTTGTCCTTGGAGAAAGACTGACAGGAAAAGGCCAACAAGGAGTGAACCAATTTGACATTGCCATCCCATTGGCAAAAATAAAAATGAAAACTTAGTAAATATGTAAATCATCACCTACCTATTGATCGAGGTGGATTAGCATTGCCTAACCCGATTTTATATTACTGGGCAGCTGTTCTGGTCATGGTGCTCTGGTGGGTTTCTCAGCCTAGGGATAACGCTGTGGTAATCCTGGAGGCGGCAATATTGGGTTCATATGCTGAACTTTGTAATCTAATTCATAGAGGTCCAAGGTCTAAATCAGCTGTTATTCTTCCCATGCGGATGACCCTGAGGGTGTGGAGTCAGGCTAGAGTTCAATTTAGTGTTCATAACTCATACTCCCCTCACACGACGCTCTGGGGCAATCCTGCCCTCCCCCATCTACATACGATACCAGATCCTGTGGTGTGGGCTCGATATGACATTAAAACATCGTAACTGTCCAGCTAAATTTGATAAAATATGGGCTGGGTGGATGCTCAGGGCCTAATGGTCTAATATTTAGGTTTCTATCTTGTGGGTATGTCTAGCTGTATTGTTTATTGGATTGGCTATTGTTTATGTTTATGAGTTGCTTTCCCTCCCCCCCTACATCTTATTTGGTGGGTGATAACTATTTACAGTGTAATTTTATTTATGTCAGGTACTTATATAGTGCTGTCAATTTATGCAGCACTTTATACATATATATTGAACATTCACATCAGTCCCTAACCCTCAAGGGGTGTACAAATCTAAGGTCCCTAACTCACATTTATGCATACACATGTTAGGGCCAATTTAGACAGGATCCAATTAACCTACAAGCATGTCTTTAGAGTGTGGGAGGAAACCAGAGCACCCAGAGGAAAACCCATGCAAGCACAGGGAGAACATGCAAACTCCATGCAGGAGACACCATGGTTAGGATTTGAACCCATGACCCATTTACTGCAAGGCAGACGTGCTAACCACTAAACCACTGTGCCGCCCCGTATCTGTTTCTCCCAATCTGACTCAGGATGACTGATTGTGGGACTTATAGCATTGGAATCTCATGTGTATTGTATATCTACTGACTGCTATAAGCTTGCTTATTCTTATGCACCTTGATTTGTTATACTTTTGTATGATTTCAATGCAACTGTTAAAAAAAAATATGTAAGTGATAAAAAGTGTAGTGCTCCACTTCTTATAACGATGAAATCAAAATGTGAATGTATATGTACCAAAAATGCTAAAAAAGCTCTCAGCTAAAACATTTGCATAGTAAGGGTGGTCCATGATGTCAGTACACTACGGGAAAAAGTTTCAGCAAGCTGCTGGGTGAGTCTAGGTGGTGGAGTGAATACACAGGTGCCATTGCATGCAGTATTACAAGTTCTGAAGAGCTTATTATTACATATTATCAGAGTACAAAAGTTTGTGAAACTCGAGTGCCATTTAGAGAGTTTTTTTCACTAATTTTGGATCTCCAATGTTATATCGATTTATTTGATGTAAATGCCTTTAGTTGAGAGATTTATAAGCATTTTATTTGGTGCATATATAGTCACATCTTGATTTTTTTCACCAAAATAAATGGATCGTATATAAATTAATCTTGAGATATATGTAATATGCTATTTGGTGTGAGCTTGCTCTACAAACAGGTTTTTGGAGGTGTTGAGTAGCTTCTCAGAGAGATATTTTATATATCATAGTAAATACTGTACATACTGTAAGTAATTCAAATTTTAAAAAGTGATGGCGGGTGGGAATATGTTATGTGGGACCACCCAGAACAGCAATTTTGCTCTAAGTGAAAACCAAGTTGCCAAATCTGATTTTGTTTTCATTATTGTTCAGTTTCTTTCCATCAATGTGTTTCTTTAAATAAATATTGATATTTTTATATGCATAAAAATGAAGTTCCAAAACATAAAATTGTTTTAATGTAACACAATGTAATATAATGTTTCAATGTGACATGTTGCATTGCAACAGTAAAGAAAAATGCGTTTATTGAGTACAAAATCATCATCAAATGACTATTCCAACAAAATGTAATAAAAGAAAAATTGCTTTACACTTCATACTAGTGACAGATGTGCAAACTACAGAGTTCAGAAAGGGCAAAAGAACAATATATCTGTCACTCCCATAACTGGAAAACCTCATGAAGCCAATGAGGACTGTTTGACACATATTAGCCCATTTATATTGAGAACAATTTATCACTAAAGATATTAATCTGAGTGGTCAGTTTCATTAACTCCAGAACAATTTTTGTAGTCTGAAAGGGACTAATTTACTAAAGGCAGATAGGTTGTTCAGTTTGCAAAGGAATTTACCCTTAATTTAGTGAATGTTTTAAACATGTATTTATTAATTTACGCAATCACAATGTGGGAAAATAAATAAAAAACAGTATTTTTGCTTTTACATGATTGGATGATGGAAGTCGGAAGAGCTTCACTTCATTCACTAAACTCTAGGGTGAATTCCCTTGCAATGTGCAACTTCTTTTGAAAAGTGAATAGTAAATCAATCCCAAAGTGTCAGATATTTTGGGGTTGAATTATTAAAGAAAAATAGACCGTTCACTTTACAAGGGAAGTTGCACTTTGCAAGGGAATTATCGTTAGAGCTTAGTGAATGAGGTGAAGCTCTTATGACTTCCATCATCCAATCATGTGAAAGCAAAAATATGATTGCAAAGTAAAAAAAAAGTCAAAGTGAACATCCTATTTGCCTTTGGTATATCAACCCCAAAGTGTATGTGTAGCCTTTTGGCTACACATACACTTTGGGGTTTATATACCAAAGGCAAATAGGATGTTCACTTTTACTTTTTTTTTTATTTTTGAATGAAGTGGGGAATGGTTAAAACACCAATCTGACTATTGTCTGCTGTCTCTGCTCTCAGACAACTTTCCCTTCTCCTGTCCCGCAGATGCCTTGACTGTCATAGGAATAGGTGTCTCCATTGGAAGATTTTCCCTCCCCCTTTGATCTGGTGCCAACTCAAAAAATATTTGCAACTCTCCTTATATTTTGTCTCAATGACATTGCTCACCAGTTCAAATAAAGGGTAGAATCTTCCCCTAGTAGGGACACAAAAAGCAATGTAAACTTGACACAGCAAAAAGAAAACCTTAAAAAGAAAAAACTATGGGCTAAAAAATATGCTTTGCCAATGAGGGGAAAAGCAGTTAGTTTGCTTTAATGCCCACCCTCTCCAGCAGCATATACTCACCATTGCTCCCATGTTACACCCTTCAGCTGCTTAGGGTAAGGAAAGAAATCCCTTTATAAACTGAGAGACAATAACCTTTTTTCATCATTATGTGATGGCACTGGGCCAATTACCAAATATTAGCACTGTCACATGAGAAGAAGGCAGTGAGTTTCCTTCAAAAATATAACCAATGTAAGGGGTAGTCTTTATTCCACTGATGACCAATGTGAAGGCCATTTTTCCACTGAGCACCAATGTACACAACATAGTTACCACTGATCAGATGCATTTGTTTCTATTTACTGGGTTCCAAGTAATGTTACTGTTATTATCATTATATGCATTTTGTTGGGATTGCCATCTGATACCCATGTAGTGTAACCATTGCCCATTTGTTGTCTACATATTGTCAAGTCTGGCCGTTTTGCCTACAAATTTTAACAATTTTCCTGTTTGTTTCCTGTGTATTGTAATGATTCCCTATATGTGGTGATAAGCTGAACGCCTGGGTTTGAATTCAGGGTAAGTACAAGGAACGAAAGTTTGGATGCTGATTGATAATGCTGAATAGTGCCAAACATTAGAAATCAGGAATGGCCATCATCATGGCTAATAGGCAAGGGATTGTCAAACAAAGGGCATTGAAAGCTGGGCATGTCCTGGAGGACATGTACCAATGCAAAAAAAAAAAAAAAAAATCATTTATCAAGGAGATGCTCTTTTCAGGTGACTTAAAGGGCAACAATAAAAATACACAATATGTTTTAAATTACAAGCTTGAGGGTTTCCTATAAACTGTGGTTTTACAGAACACTTTTCAGGGACAGCATCAGCAATACCATTTTGTCTTGTCACAATTCCATGTGTAATACTTAAAGTGTTACTAAACCCACAACAGTAAAATCAGTCTGTATATGCAGTAAAGCATGCTTGTTATACTCACTGTGGAACCTAAGGGGTTAATCCTCCCCAATCCATCTGCTGATAGTACACAGCTCTAGGAGTCACTCTGTACATGCTCAGCTTAGTGTTTATTGCTAGAGACACTGA